CACGCTGTGCTATGTCACCGAGTCTCTGTTTTTACTTCCCTTTCTGTCTCCTTTTGTCTCTGACACACACACACACACACACACACACACAACACATATTGAAAGAAGATGATTGTCAGCAGTAACTCTGTGTGTGTGTGTGTGTGCGTGTGTGTGGAGAAAATCCCTAATCTGGCGTGGACCAGCTTCCTGTCTAGACTCTGCATGAGGAGGCCAGAACTAACCTGGCCGGTGCCGTCGGGGTGTGTATCTCTGCGCGCACACTACCACGGTGTTTGTGCGCGTGATACTAATAAATGTGTGAGCACAAAGCTGCATTATGTCAGTGATGCAGAAAGAGAGCGAGGGGTTGCACATGTTTCATTGTACTCATCCCAACCAGAAAACAGCCACTGACCTCTGGCCTTTAATATCTTCTGTCCGATGCTTTAGTCTGGATTCACCGTGTTTCCGGGAACGCTCCCTTTTAGTTTTCGGTTTCTTTGACACTTTCTCTGCCACGTGTGCCAACGCCGCCGAGATTCCAAAGGCCAATTTCCTCATTATCCAACAGCTCTTACGGGAAGAGGGAGGGGGGGGAAATGGAAAAAGGGTCTGATTTGAGTTTCTTTGAAATTCCATAGAAAGAACGAGGATAAACTAGAGAAGTACTGAAATGTGCTGGTTTTTCCTTCCCTATTCTCTGTCCACCCTGTAAATACAGCTGTTCAGCGTAACACGAGTACACATGGTAGTGAAGGCGCTTTACTTCAGCCCTCTAGAAGTTAAGTCACCCAAAAAGAATCCCTGGCGGTACGGCAATGACACTTAACCGAGCTGAAACATAACTGGAATTGCTGTCAGGCTCTCGCCATCAATCACTTGCACAAACCCTGCATGTAGTAATCCCAACAAACACCACTGAGCACAGCAACTTTCTGGCACCTTACCGCGCGCCACGGGTGCTGATCGGAAAATGCTAAGTGCGTTTAGCCTCAGCGCCGACGGCATTTGTCCGGAGTGTGAATCAACATCACGAGCGTCGCCGTTTCATATTCATGCAGGGGCCCAATGACACCTCGTCCTCTGCTCCGCCTTCCAAAAAGGCCTGAACTCAGCAGATCGCCGCCCCTGCAGACCCAGATGTAAAGTGACCAGTCTTCACCTTTGTGACATCAGACTGCCGCGACGTGCCGTCTTGTGGGAGCAAGCCGTCACGGACGCATGCCAAAGACCACGGCAGCCGCAACGGTGCAAATGACGGGGATTGTTTGGGACGTAAACGTAATCAATGTTTTATATAATCCAATGAATAAAGATAACGTGAATAGGGTCTCAGGGCGCTTTTTTTTTTGCGGCTTATATTGTTATTTGTGTGCAGCCAGCAGATTAAAAGTACAGTTCTGCGTTTCCCGCAAAATGACACGGCCGACGAACAAAGTCAGCAACCGGCCGGAGAAGACGGTCAAACAACTAAAGTGCCTCAGAGTTGAAATGTAAATATTGAACTTGAGTTCATCAAGTGTTTAACAGACGTCGATGTGAGATGTCACTTTCGTTACAGAGCAACAATATGTAGCTTAGGTTTGCCAACTTTGGCTATTGGTAATACGAGACAGTATGACGCAAATAAAGAAATGAAAGCCATTTTCAAATGTCTTGAGACATGTTTGAATGTTTTTGAAAGAAAAGGGTCAGTAGGTGATGCATCTGAAGTAACACATTGGTTGGTTTTCATCATGCCGCAGATGAGAATTGCTTTGACTGAGTCCACAGACAGAAGGGAAAGGTAACGGTGCGGCGGCAGAGGGGTTCAGTGGTAACGCTGACCACGGCTCGGAGGCCCGTCTTCACCAATCCCGTCCCGAAACACACCCTGAACACACCTGTGAGCGGACAGTTAATCAAACAGCTGCCCGCCTACAACATGACGACATTCCTTCAAAAAGAACAATGGAATCAAACTAGGTCATTGTACTCATTTTTTATTTATGGTATTTTTAAAGTCATAATGGTCGGCCCCGACGGGGACACGTCGAGAGACGGGCTTTTTGCCGACTCCACGTGATCTCACCTTAAGTCACCGTCTAGCCGGCGTGGCGTTGCTTTCCTCCGTACATGTCTCAAGAAAAAAAAAAAAAAAAAAAACGATGACTGCCACAGATGGTGGACGAATCACATGAGTCATTCGCGTTGTACGGCTGCGATAAATACACATCGTTGTCTCCGCTGGTTTGGGTTTAAGGGGTCTCCCGTTGGCATTCCTCTCCAACCGACTACCCAAGTATGACTCACGGGCTTGTTACCCCCAGACGGGGGCTGACGTTAGCGGGCCCGGATGGTCGGCGTGCCGTGGCCGCTTGGTATTTTGGGGTTTGTCTGGATTTGTGTGGCCAGCGCTGCGCGGTCTGGACTGTGCTGAACTCCGTCTGCTCCGTCAGAACCACGTTCAGATCTTCCTTGGATGTTACATTGGGAAGCACCGCGGTCGCAGTTACCTTTAGGACAAGTACAGTCAGCAAGAATGTAACCTTACAGAGGGAGGTAAAGGGGGGAGTGTATTGCTACCAGCATGTGTTTTTTGTTTTCATCCTCCGTGCATTCCTTTCCTGTGTGTCGTGCGAGACGGGGAGATTGCCGGAGAGTGACTCACTAAAACCTGAACCAGCAGTGAGGTAATCACCGGCGGACGCTTGGAGTAAGAATGAACTTTGATGGAGGATCATGTCTAGGAATCCCCAGACAGGTTGGAATAGTAGAATAAGTGTGCGTGGGTGGGTGATGTAATTTCTGAGCACCATTCCAGGCCACGTGCGGGGGTGTGTGCGCTCGGCCTCCCGACGAAGGCCAGCGACCCCATTACAGGAAAATTGATAAAACAAATGGAAATAGACTCTCAACCCAAAGTACAGCTGGTAGGAGGTTTAGAAATCTTCTTCAATCGTATTCAGGAAGTTTTATTCATCAGACGTCGTCATCCAGTTCAATGCTACTGCGAGCTACAACCTCAGTTAAATGCAAACCTTTCGAACATTGTCGATCATAAGTGAACACAGGGGTCTTTGTGAAGGCAGAACTTACGGCTGTGCTGTTGTATTCGTGTGTAACGGGATCCTCTGGAAAATGTCCAGGATGATGTTGAGTGTGTCGCTGGACAGACGATAGACGGCAGATATTGTTTGTTATGCAGCATCACCTGCTGGCTTAATGGAGAACTGCCAACACGACAGTAACTGCCAAAGGATGAGACCGAAGGGGGAAACCTCAGAATAAATGAACGTTCAATTCACGTGTGCATTGAAACACGCCACGTGATGTTAAAAGGTATATTCACTGAAGTGCATCACCCAAACATGGAAATGATTCGTTCAAAGATGATTCGCCAGAGAACAATGAGACAAACACACACACGAGAGAATACAATCACAAATGACTGTGTGTGTGTGTGTCACAGTTTCTTTTTTCTCTTTTGGGATGAGCTGTTCGATGCACAGAGGACTGTGGGAAGGTGGCAGACTGAAACATAACTCCAGGGTGCTTGTCCTAAAATAGTCTCACAGTGGCTACGGAGACATCTCCCTCCGTCCTCCGTCTTCAATCATGTGTAAAAAAAAAAAAAATAAGACCCCAGGCATTTGAGGATGGAAGCGCTCAAAGGTCACAGAGCCAAAGTTGTGAATAAAGACATTTCAGGCAGAGTAAAAAAAAGTACAATGAATAAAATGGCGACTCTGTTTCTATGAGTGAAGTATTCGATATTGTATTGATAGTTCTGCTGATTAAACAGCTTAATTGAGTGGCGTTTACAGTATTGGTCAACTTATTTCTGAGGCCCATCTCCGTGCCAGAAGTAAAAAATTACTCTTAACATTATCCAATGTTCACAGGTAATGCAAATGAGTCACACTTGTATGCTTTTTGGCTTCAATAAGAAAATACTAGTTAGCAACATGGTGTCAGATGGTGCCTTCATAGTGAGTTGAGGAGAAAACGCCCTTGTTCTAGCTGAATAAGTCTGTGTAGGATACAGGCACCTGGGCACATGATTCAAGGCCAAATATTTACCAAGTTTGGACATTCTATGAAATCATTCTTGCGATGCAAACTGGTGGGCAAAAAGAATAATAGTGAAATACCAAACCCCATGTTTGGTTAAGGGGCCTCTAGCGGTTGAGTGAGCTGTGACCTAAAATAGGTCTGAGAATGTGGATATGCTTTATGAATAGAGATAAAGCGGACCGTGGAAGGAGAAAAAATCTAATGGATTAAATGAAAGTATTCCCCCTCCACGTGCAGAGGGCATGGGAAACTCTGCACTGACAAAATACACCTCTTTTGAACAGTGACGCAATCATGATGCCAAAATGTCCAGTGATTGATACCCGCCATTTGAGAACATGTGCTGAAGTGTTTTGGATGTTTTTGAGAGGGCAAAAGGAAAGCCGACAACCCAACTGTGGATTATCAGAAAACAACTCAAATATATTTATTATTGGATTTTTTTTTAAATGTTTGCTAGCAGACAAATATTACATTGTTAAATGCTGAAAATACACTACAAACAGGATACTTTTATGATTCAGAAGAGAATGAACATCTTAACATTCTGTCGTCCCAAAAAACAAAGTGTATAGATTTGACATTTCTTGATTTGACTGAGTGGAAATATCAGCGAATGCTAGTGCCACAATTGGCCACTAGAGGGAGCCCGACTCAGGCCGCAGCACCAGAAAAACATCAGCCTGTAAAATGCCCGTTAATATTAAAACACATTAAAACCCAATAACAGAGGAAACAGACTGGCTATTTTCTCCAATTCAGATGCGTTCATTAAGAAAGAACTGGCAAGAATATTAACTTTCCGACTTTCCACCGCTCCAAACATTTGTTGAGGTCTGAAAATAAAACACGAGACTATTTCACATGTTTATTAGTTGACGCGCGAGGCATCGCAGTGGAGTTGCGGTTACGATTCGGGCCCCGCCGCGTTGATGCGGTCCCTCCTCCACCAAACGTCAGAAACCAGTGGTATAAAAACACGCGAGGCCGCCCGGGCCGCTCAGAGTCGCGGACGCGGACAATAAAGAGGATCGCCGAGCGGCGCGATCGATTTCATTCAAATCGACCGGATTGAAAAAGTTGGGTTTGTGCAGATGCGTTTGTGCCGGACGCATGCGCGCGTGTGCGGGACCGCTTCCATCGTTCGGGACTTTGAGTTAATGTCTAATGGGAGCGCGCGCACTGGGATTTCTGCTGGGAAAAAAAACCCAAAAACGGAACAGCCACAAGAAAAACTAATTGCTAAGTGAGGTGTTTTTTCTTTTTCTTCCCCCGAATTAGTTTATTGGTAAGTCAAAAGCGCGGTTTGACGAGTTGACTGTCTGCACATTTTGACCACGGAGCGAACCAGATGCGGAGAGAAAGATGCATCTGGGCAAGGCTTTACTGTTCGTCCTCCTCCTCAACTGCGCGACTTTGAGCTCATCCCTCTCGACTTGTGCCACCGTGGACATCGACCATGTGAAAAGGAAGAGGGTCGAGGCGATACGAGGTCAGATTTTGAGCAAACTCCGACTGACAAGTCCTCCGCACTCCCTCGGACCCAGTAAAATCCCCTATCAGATCCAAGCGTTGTACAACAGTACCAAGGAGCTACTGGAGGAGCTCAGGAGGGATCGGCAGCAGACTTGCGGTCAGGACAACACAGAGACAGAGTACTACGCCAAAGAGATATACAAATTCAACATGGTCTACGGACCACCGGAAAGCAGTAAGTATTGCAGTTCTTTCGGGGGGGAAAAAAAGTCTCTACTGCGGTCTTGTCTGAGCGCCAGTGGCAATCCGCACCCGCGGTGCGTAATTACGCACCTAAAATGAATTGCGATTTTAATAAAATAAAGTTGTGTCAGGTAATGTGATTTAATTTTTTTATTTTTTAAACAAACTGGACAAGATGTTTCCGACTTCAATGCAAAGTTCATTCTGAGTGGAAGTGCGCTGGAGGCATCAACGTGCCACATCACTGTTGTGAGCTGCACACTGGACCAGGTGGACTTCGATGTTTTTATATCAGCATTTAAACACTCAGTTTTGGATGTATGTACAAAAATATGCAAATAACGCTTAAATATGTTCTGCACAGTGAAGCTGAAACACCAAAGTGGACACACAATAGGCAAAATATGTTTTTCAGTGGGAGGGGGACTGTAATATAAAATATTATCCCCATAATGAGGAACAAAACAAAGTAATGGTCCAAAGCGCTTTGATGTTTTGTGGCGGTGGACTGGCTGCACACTTGGACAATGTGTTTTGTGACTGCAGTGCTCACCAACCTGTTTCAACTCTGCACCAGTCGCTCTCCTCCTCCTGACTTCCTCCTCCAGGTTTTTTTTGTTTTTTTTCTTCCGTGGATTCTGTTCTTCTCCCCAGATGTTCCCACTTCCTTTCCCGTCAGGCTCAAATGAGGGGGACATCTGCCCGTGCGAAGGGGGATGCCTTCAGGAGAAGAAGTAGGGAAAGTAAACATGAGGTGGGCAAGAAAAGTGAGCTGATGGAGGCCTCCCACTCCCCCCTCCCCGGAGTCTATCCGAACATTGGCGTCCCGTGAAGCCCTCGCATTCACTAACGCATCATTTAGATGGAGCTTAAAGTGACCCCACTTCCTGTCTTGGCCCGTGAGCATGAGATCACTTACTGCGCTGCTCAGGTTTAACTTGCGAAACTGAGTGCGAAACTGAGCCGGCAGCCGTGAATGATTCCGCTGTGTCGTCATTTTATTGCCTCTACTGTATGTAACATTTAACTGCTCGGCTAATAATGAGCTTTGTTTCGTTGGTGGAATATTTGTTCAAATAGTCAGTAAAGCCCCCGTTGTTTATACTTCAAGTGATTCTCCGCTAACCCAGTGTTTTCGCCGGAGCCGCTGCCTTTATAGAAACAAAAGCCACGAGTGGAAAACTTGAGCTGAGAGGGACATGTGTCGGCACTTGAGGGAGATTCATACAGCATGTGGTCCGGCTGAGTTTGGATTACCGCGCGGGTAGAATAGAATAAATGCTGTGCGTGTGTAGGAGCCAAAGAGGGCCTCATTGTCTCGAGCAAAGCCAAGAGCATTGCATCACAGCCGCCTTTGAAATCAACAGGTGTTTCTCAAAAGGCCTATTCTCCCTCGGCAGTGTTCTGTTTTGAATCTCGCTAAACGCTTTTGACAAAAAAACGGCAGTGGGCGCCACGCGTTTGTGTGCCGGTTTGATTGATGAACTCGGGAGACCGCAGATGAACTTCATAATGCGAGCAGCAATAACAAACACGTAGAGCTGGGTCAGGATCCGAGTTTCTTTTGACGTAACGCTGCGGCCTTCATGCCCGACTGATGTGATTAGCTGAAAAACTAGTTCAGAAGGTCATTATAGCGGCGCAAGTGCTGAACGGGCAGAAGTACAGAAGCTTTATGCCTGTGCAAAATCTCTTCTCAGATACTTAAAATGTCCAAAAGCTAATAATATTCCTTTTTCTTTTTAATGTGTCCAAGATGACGTCACACATGCATTTTTGTCAATAGCCTCCACATCCATACAGTGAGCCCACTCTGAGCTGGTTAAAGGGATTTTCAGATGGTCGAGTTGAGTAGAGTCACTATTCTACTCGGCGAGGGACAACGCTCTTCAGTTAAATGACGACATTAAACTCAATATATCCTGGAGGCACAGAAACGTCACGTACACACTCTGTATCTTTGTCATGTTTTCCCTTTGTGATTAATGAATGGGACGCTCTGTTCGCACTGTAGCCCCACTTACACACTTTGTCTCCTTTGTTCCTCTCACATAAATGATGAAGTTCATAAACAATTACTTCCCGTTTTGTCAAAACCAGTCACACACACAGAGCTTTGTTAAGGTTGTGGGGGTGTTTGGTTGTGCTGGCGACAATAACAGACACCTTGTTAAGATTAGAGAACGATCCGAGTCGTGCTTCAAAAGAAACAAAATCGACTTCCCCCCCTTTTTCATCATACAGATTGATGCTTCAATAACAGTCTCCACTTGGGATGATTCCACTTGAGGATTTACTAGACAATTTGCCAAATACAACGATTTGATTGATAAAGTCTTGCTTGCTACAGAACTTGTGCTTCCAGTCTTCAGACCAAGTTAAGCTCACTTGCTGACGGATGTGGCTTCAGATTTAGACACACAAGATTGGAATCAATGTTCTCGTTCAACTCTCAGAAAGCGAGCGAGTGGACTTCCTGAGACGTTAAAGTTCTCCTTTCAGATCAGGTAGAAACAGAACATTGGCTGAAGCCAGTGCTGTGAGGTTTGCCTCCTGAGGTATAACACCACCAGAGGACCGGCCTTGTAAAGTAAAGTTCTGACACCCGGCCAATCGCACCACTCGCTTTCCCTCGGTTATTGCGGGCAAACACGCGCTCACTTTTTGACGGCAAACTGTTGACCTTTGGTGGCCCCGAAGCCGCTCTGGGAACCCACGCGAATCCGCGACAGGTGCAAACGAAGCAGAAAGCTCGCCGAAAGACTGGCGCATTGGCTGGATCGAGAGGCTGGACTGCAATCCGAGCAACGTTGGAACATTTCCTTTCATAGCCGCGGTACGCGTACAGAACCTGGCGCGCGTCGGCGAGTGAGGTCGCGCCGCGTTGAAGTCATCGTGGTCAGAAAGGGGTTCGAGTCCAAAAAGTAGTCAGCGTGGCCGAGGATAGCAGGGGTTCTCGATACCAGGGCGGTGAAGTCATGCCGAGCGCACCAACATTGCCGGTTCAATCACACATTTCATTTCCACCAAATATAGACAAAATGTGTTAGCAAAACACTGAGGTATTTTGATAAGGCAAGCAACCACGCCAATCACTCCCTGTGGGCTGATAAACGGAGTGCCAGCCGAGAGAGAGTCAGCAAACCCAAGATCACATTTTAGGTGTGAATGGGTTTACGAGTCTTCTAGCATATAAAAAAAAACCTTTATTATAATTCCATGTCATCATTTTCATATTAAACTATAGCTTTATTTCTGAAGGACTAGAAAATGAAAAAAAGTTCATTTCTTTGCAATCTGGAGTTATTATTCTATTTACTGCCTATGGATGGCCAATTCAGTTAAAAGAGTACAGCAATTACTTTGGCATTAAAGCAAAGCACCTCGCCCAACCCACTCTTATTATTTGGTTGTATATCACGACTTTCTCATCGACGAACCAATTAGTTGAATAGAAGAGAAATCGATCGGCAAAATGACAGCTGCAGCGGTGTTAACTTTTGAAATGTTTTTGAATAAGCTGCTTGTTTTGCGTCAGTCCTTGACAAGAATTTCTAAAGCCGCTCTCTCACAAAACATTTGTTTTAATCACCCTGATCCAGACGATCTGCTCTACTGCCCAAAAGGCATCACGTCCAAGGTTTTCCGCTTCAACGTCTCCGCCATGGAGAGGAACTCAACCAACCTCTTCCGAGCAGAGTTTCGCGCTTTCAGGGTGCCAAACTCGAGCTCCAAGAGGAATGAACAGCGGATCGAGCTCTACCAGGTGCGTAAAGGTACCGTTCCCACGTCCCTCTGCCGAGAACAAAAAGGCAAAGCACGCGGTCAACGCAACAAGGAGCTTCAAAGTCTCTTGTCTGTTTTTGCAATGATTTCAGGCTCCAATTGACAGAGATAGTCCACTAAAGTGAGATCAGGGTTGCGGGCATTCAACCAATGCCCTAAACGCATCGGGCCTGCAGAATGTTAGCAGAAGCGTGACTGTGGTTTGCTTTGTGCAGCGCTGGCAGCGCAGATCTAACACAGTCCTCATGTAGAGGTCTTTACTTTTCATCCCTTCAAACGGGAGGCAAAGTTTATGGAGCGGTTAAAAAGAGGCTCTGGTGTGCTGATTGATGAAATGATGCAACACACTTGTCCCTGTTGGATTCAACATGAAGCAACTTATTGAAATAAAGTTTAAAAAAAACACACCACCACATACAGATAATCTGGTCACGGACTAAGCCATTAGTGCAATATTACCAAACACGTGATTCTACTACAGCCATCTGCCATCGGTTTTCGCCAAATGGACGACAATACCTCTTATTGTAGAAGGTTGGCTGGTTGCTACCAAGTCTGTAATGGCAGAGGTGGTCAATCTGGAGGCCCGTGTTGCACACGGAGCGGCCCACTCGCGACAGTCGACCAGGGTCAAACGCAATTAACTCACTTAAGACTTTCAAAGCATGAATTAGAACAAGTTAATGAGACACACGTCTCCCTCGAGTGAGAAACACAGCGAAAAGGAGAGCGGACGTTAAATATGCAAGATCGCCCGTCACGATGGTACGTACGGATCTATTCTACGCTTTATTTGGTTGAAGCCGTTTCAATATTGTGAGAGAACTCGAGCACAAAAACGTGTGAGTTTTTTATTTTCGTCGCGTTTGCAGATTGTGAGGCCGAACGAACACATCAGGAAGCAACGCTACATTGCGGCCAAGAACGTGCTGACCAGAGGTTCCTCGGAGTGGGTCTCCTTTGACGTGACTGAAACGGTGCGGGAATGGCTGATGAACCGAGGTAAGGCCGCGTCCTTCTGATGGCCGTCACATGTTTGAAGAAACGTGAACACGCTGGATTTAAAGAGACTCAAAACACTCTAAAAAGCTTCTTTTTTTACAAATACTCTTTTTCCACCGTTTGCTATCAGGAAGTAATCTGGGTTTGGAAATCAGTGTGCACTGTCCCTGCCACACCTTCAACCCGAACGGGGACATCATTGACAATGAGAATGAGGTGCTGGAGGTGAAGTTTAAAGGTAGGTTTTTACAGCATTTATGTGTAAGTATAAGTTTAGCGTGAATGGAAAACGTGTTGCATATTCACGTGGGCCTTAATCCAACATCTCCTCCATTTATTCTGTAATAATTCAAAATAATTGTCAAAAAAAACGGGAGGAATGACCAGGAGGACAGCTTTATGGGTGATACGCCAATTGTATGCTCAGATTGAAAGAAAAAACAATCACTAAATAGTTTAAGTTAAGTTTAAGTGCCTTGTGTCCATCGCTCAGGTCTGGATGGAGATGAGGAGCAGAGTCGCTGGGATCTGGATCACCTGAAGAGGAGAAAGGAGCAGCACATGCCTCACCTGATCCTCATGATGATCCCACCCCACCGCCTGGACACCCAGTCCACGCGCCGACGCAAGAGAGCGCTGGACACAAACTACTGCTTCTCGTGAGGAACGCGTCGACGACACAGCCGACCGGTTGCAGCGACAACGCGACGCGAGCACGTTTAGTCTTTGGCTTTACGTCCATCTCCGTTTCTCCCCCAACTCAGAAACACGGAGGAGAGTTGCTGCGTTCGCCGCCTGCACATCGACTTCCGCCGTGACCTGGACTGGAAGTGGATCCACGAGCCCAGCGGCTACGACGCCAACTACTGCTCGGGGCCGTGCCCTTACCTGAGGAGCTCGGACACGACGCACAGCTCGGTAAGAAGCCCCGATGGCGGACAGACACCCCGCGTTTGGTTTGTCCGTGGTTCTAGTTTTGTGTTTCCACGAAGTGGACATCCCGCCTCACGAGATAATGATTTAACGCGACCTCCCCTGTGTGCTCCCCACAATAGCTGCTGAGCCTGTACAACACTCTGAATCCGGAGGCCTCGGCCTCCCCCTGCTGCGTCCCGAAAGACCTGGAGCCCCTCACTATACTCTACTACTCCGGACGGACCCCCGTAGTGGAGCAGCTCTCCAACATGATCGTCAAGTCTTGCAAGTGTAGCTGAGACGACGTGAAAGGCGAGGTAGCGCGGCAGGATTTTACTAGGTACTGACGAAGCCCCCCACCCCCACCCCCGTCCCGGGACTTTTGGACTTTTTAGCTGTGACAAATACTTTACTTGACCCTGTGACCTCACGGCCCGAGATCTGAAAAATCGCTGTTAGTCTTAAAAAAAAAAAATCCCAATCAAATGTCAATGTTCCCTCTAAATAGATGAACACTCTCGATAAATGAAGCCCTGTGCAAATTTAAATGGTCCAAATACGCATCAGGACGAAGTACGATTGAAAGTGACCCTATTCTGTGGTTTTATTTTGTGCTTCAGAGCTCTCATCTCTAAATTGTCAGTAGAATGTTTTTTCTTTCTAGCCGCGGGGCGACGTTGTTATTAGTCACAGATTGTGCTCTACTGAACTTTTGAAGGGTCCTTTCAGGCTGGGTTGTAAACCCTCGCCTTGCCTTCAAACAGTGGCCACTATCTTAAAACACAAAAGGAGAAAGGACAGACTTGCTGCTGTATCCAAAGCCATAGCTGTGGTCGGGGGGAAAAGGAGAGCGGAGAGAATGCCTGCTGGATTTGCAATGGAAAGTGAATGAATAAAGTAGTCGGGCCAAGCTTTTCTTTTCTTGGCCGGCCAGTAGTAATGGCCTTCCTATTTTTGTATTTGCGGTGCATCGATTAGAATGGATGGAGAAAGAGGAAGAAGAGGAAGAAGAAGAAGAAGGAGACGATGAAAGAACTGTGATGGATACAAGCCATGAGCACACTGCCGTTCACTGGACGTTCTCATCTCGAACAGGTTCAAGTTATTTATCAAAGAATTTACTGGAAAAGTGTTACGCAAGTGTTTTTTTCTGGGATTTCTTTTACATAAATGGCAGATTTGATCTGTTCTACAACTTGAAATCTAGTTATTGTTTCATAAACTGGGACAAGAAATCAACATTATCTCCATCGGTGGAAACACTTTTATATTAAAATAAGGTTACTGTTACATTTCCTTGTGATTTTTGTCCATTCTCTAATTAGTGTGACCTGTTCTATGTGATCCAGTGTTTGTTTGATGTAAGTATCATTTGTATTAAAAGGGGTCTTAACCCCGGAGGGGTCAATCAGAGCACTTTTCTCCAGCAATAATAGCAAATGTTGTTTAGAACGTTCCCCTTTACCCTCCTATCAACTCACCCGTCACTCCGGCCGGCTGACATGGAGCCGTGTGCGCGCGTGTGTCTGTAGTTCCCAGGAAACACTGCAGTCTTTCATTCCCTCTGCTCCCCATGTTTGTTTTGGTGCTCCTTTACAGTGTGAAGCCCTGATGGAACCCAAAGAAATGAAACGCGAGGGGAAAGTAATAGCATGACAGTGGCTGGATGTACAGTTAGACCTCCTTTTACTCCGGAGAACAATTCTGGAGCCCTGTACTTTTTTCACATTTGCCAAGTCATCTTGCCTTTAGGTGACATTTAGATGACGGTTTTTTTTGCAGTAATATTGTTTGATACCCTTGTTGATCGTGACTGTAATTAAAAACACAAAATCTGTATGAGCGCTTTTTAAGTCTCTAAAACAACTGCAGCTTTGCACCTCCGATGTAATCGATCTGTGAAAACATTTAACTTCAAGTAATGAAATGAGGAATTTACAAATATGTCTCGTCTGCCATCTTGAAATGCCATTTCAAATTTGCTTCCATACAAACATAATTTTTCTTACTGGAATCTCATCAGTCCCACCTGTTTGCTGCGGACCGTTTCTTTTTCTTTTTTTACCAGAGTAATAACTTTCAACTTTTCTGGAATTGCTGCTTGAGAACTTTGCCAAGCGAAAAAGTAATTACTTCTATTTTCAGTACACGCCGACATTCCGTTATGTTCTCATTGTTCATGAACGCTAAATCACACTGTAACGTAAAATACGCTTCTCCGTTTAACCTTTCATGACACCCTTTAATTCACCAGTATTACCACTACAATACATCTATTGACCTTCGGAAAACAGCTCCAGGATATTATCACCAAAATAAGTGCAACATTTGAAAATGCATTAAATGACAAGCAAAATTTGATCAAGAAGTTAAACACTTACATTACATTACATAAAATAAAAACTGCTAACTTGTTGATCTATTTTGAAAATGAGAAACTAGTGAGCTTATGTTAGATGCATTGGTCTTTATTATTGAAATGGTAAAAAAAAAATCAAGGTCTAAATATCATTACTAAATATAATTAACCACTAATAAAGCCTTATAAAGCCCTTATTAAGGAGGCTGGCAGCTTATTTTCTCTACTGAACTGGCAATCAGTCACTTGGACTTCGGAAGGGGGGCGCGGGGGGGGTTAGAGCTAATATGGACTGACATTTAGCCAGAGAGAATTCCCTTTCTCTGTGTGCCCGTTATTGTTCCCTGTCACAATCAATCAGAGACGAACCGTGATGACAACACAAAGACCAGAGGGCATGACGAGGTCTACGAACGGGGGGGGTCGGGGCTCTAATGGCTTTGCGGACAGCCTTGTACTAACAAACACACATTACCGGTGAAGAGCGCCATGCATGACTGACTTTTAACCTTCAGCAGGAGCCAGCAGGGGCAAACGCCGCTCTCGCACGTCCACAGTTTGTCGCGAGTTCGGCAATAACATGACTGCCGTGCAACTTGGTTTCACCGTTTACTTCTCGACTTCTTCGAGTCAGCAAATCCGACCAAAATGAGGTGGTTGTTTCAATAGGCGGAGTCCTCGTAGGAGTAGAATAATATGGCCAATGCAGAGTTTCTTTGCCCGTGTTGGTGTAATGGAAGCAGGCCGAGGGGTTAGGGGATGGCGAGGCCTTTCCAACAACGGCAACTTGACAGACGTACGGTGACGCTTTAAGCTGCAGGGACGAGACACGTTTGTAGAACGGAAGACAGATCGGTCGTCTCAATATTGAGTTTTGAGTCGTGTCAAGACGGCTCACGGAGCCAAACGCGAGTCATTCACAAGTTTCACCGCCCAAAAAAGAACCACGGCGGGAAAATCCCTTCTTTGCTTTTTATTTATAGCCCCCAAACAATGATTCCAAGATGCCGATAAGGAGCTTTTTGTGACCAGCTCGACCTGCAATAAGGCCATTTCCAGCTACTGGATGAGCGAGCCATAATCAGGCTGGAGCTCAGGGTCCGTTTCTGGGTTACAGTTTGACTTCCACAGAACATTTGCGCTTCCAAGACTCGCCAATGATGAATTGCACGACACGTAAACGCACAGTTTGGAAAACTGTGTCCGCTGCTATTCCCTGAGCAGATTAACAGATGTAGAGGGAGAAAAAGAAATCGAGGGGGAGGTGAGAGACAGACACAGAGAGGGAAAGTAGTATAGTGTGTGTGTGTGTGTGCGTGTGTGTGTGTGTGTGTGTCCGGGGCGGGAGAGAGAGCGAGATGAAAAAAGGGACTGTTGCTGCAATAAAATCATCAGGTCACATCAGACCAGTTCTCAGGCCCCGGGGTGGAAAGAGTTGTGTAATTCAGCAATTGGGATACACACACACAACCACCAAGCTAGCAGCCATAGTTGCTGGAAAAGAGTGAAGGGGTGAACAAATATGTAAACACATATCAACTTCATAGACCTTTATAGCTAAACAAATGAATGGGAGGTCTGGATCAAACTACAGCATTAAATTACAGAAGGGTGTGTGTTTCCGTGACGGAGGGATGGAGCGAGCTCACGGCCGGAGGGAAGGAAAATACTAGAGAGAGAGAGAGAGAGGAGGAGGAAGGGAGAGAGACAGAGACTGTGTGAGATTATCATTTGCGCACCCTTTACATCAGGATATGACATAATGTATAAAAATATATTACTGAGTGTAAATATGCAAAATGGGCCAGATTGAATGATTTACAGTAAAGTCCTATTTGTTACCCAGTAGAGAGGCAAGACATTCCAGAAAGGCAAATGTGTTGAAAACAAATCTTCAGTCCAATTAAAAGGTTTTCAACACAAAAAAAAAAAATACAGGAGATATCCTCGTGAATTAGTCATGCAGCATGAGAAAAAAAAACATTAAATTCAGCACCAAAATATTGCCAAAGAAATGAAACGTCATCTACTGAAAACGTTGAATCCGGCTCAGCTTTTGCTGCACCGAAACACGACTTCCTGTGATACGGCACTGCGTCGGCTAATCACACGCACGCAAGCGCACATTCCTGCTGCATCAACTTCGTATCATGAATAGTGTGTTTCTGCTGTTTATCTTTGTGGCTTCTGTAAGCCTTCAAGATGCCAATGTCCTGTCAATCAAGTCGAGTTTCCTTACGCAGGCCTTATTACTGGGTCTGGTATGACCAGCGGTTTTTAGTGGTTAATGTCAGAAAACTGACCAAACAATGACATTTTTCTGTATTGCAAACCCACTGAATCGGATCACTGACTTTAGGACATTTCACGTCAAAAAAGTGAATTCTGTCAGTCTACAGGCTGTCAAAAGGTCCGGGAAGGTCTCAGTTTTACAATTACTACATGATGCAGCAATGCAATAGAGAGAAAGGCAAGGCAAGGCAATTTCATTTGTATAGCACTTTTCATACACAAGGCAGACTCAAAGTCCTTCACATTATAACATTTCATACAATAAAGTTAAAGAAAGACGGGAGTCATGACTGATCCTGTGTTTTTGTGGCTGGAACCGGACCATCTGCAGTTTGCCGTGAAACTCCGTCCTGCATTTTGTAAGTTTAGACATTAATAAATGTCATTTGTCAGGGTTTTCTGACGATACAGCAAAGAAGTGGCAAAGTGGATCTTTAACGACATCACATGAAAAATACCAGTATTGTCCTTACACAGCTTTCAATATTTAAATAATAACTTTATGAAAAATGCTGTCACTCATGTGGAAACCAGGGAGACATGTTCACATATACAAAACGGCACAACATCGTGACAATAAAACCATAAAAAAGGACGCCTTTGTTTGAGGAATCTGTGTAACGCTGCCAACAGCGGGGTTAAAGCTTCCTCTCGCTCATTTATTTGGTCTCCGTAGCTGTAAACGCCTTCTCCATTTACGTGGACCTTTGCTTTACCCGCCTCTATATAAACCCTCGGAGAAACATCATAAAACGGGTAAAACGGGATGCATTCAAAGCGTCCCGCACGTGAGCTCAGCTGGACCGGAGGGATCCTACATGCACACGCATGCACACATATGGCCTCGTGGGGAAAAAAAAGAAGAGGATCTTAAATCACGTGGACGCCCGGGTGGTAATTCTTGTCGGATCGCCGTCCAGGCAACGGTTACGCCGGCTCCGTCCTCCATCCTCATCCCAGATTGATGAGGGAAGTCGTATCCTTAACAGCCGCGTCAGCAGGGTCGCTCTCTCTCCTGCACAAGCTCTCAAAGTGGTTGTATTGTCTTTCTGCCTGTCTGGGCATACTGCATGTTCACACCGTGACTCGGGATCAAACTGGGGGGAAACTGCAACGAAGAACCAGAGCCCCTCGGATCAGGGCTCAGGGAGGAGAAGCGTAAAAGTCAGCAAGTCAACAAGCTGCAAGAGGCCCCAGCAGACGCTGGAAATAAAGGCTTTGCTAACCACACTTGCATTGTGCAATCCTCCCTCAAAGAAACAATGCGTAGCGTTCAGTGGGCTCAATTGGCAGAAATGTAATGTAATAATGTTTCTTCCCCGAGTGTTTAATCAAAATAAGGCCATAATAAAGAACCGGTGGGAATCTCCAACATCCCAGCTTGTAGACTCCAAATCCAACACTCTGGAGACCTCCAACAAGTTTGGATCTTTGGGAACAAAGTTCATGCATGGACGAAATAACAAGTAAAAAAAGTATAAAAGAAATTCTCACGCGTAGATGCGCAAACTCTTCCCTTCAGACGCCTTATTCAACAGCGGAATGTCCCGCAGGAGGAGTTGCCAGCATTGGCAACATCTGCAGACTCTGCATAGCAACCCCCAAAAAAAGACTCTGGCAATATCGACGAAGCATTTTGAAAGAAGGTCAGAGAATGTTTCTAATAGTTTAGCCTTCTGCTCGAAGGACTTACTCTCCATCTCTCTCAGTTTAGCGGTTAGCAGAAGGCTAAACGGTTAGCAACAGACTTTACAGGTCAACAGGTTTGCAAAGATAACGGGACAGTAATTATCGTACTATAAAATGTGGATCAGAATCAGGATGACGTCTGAAATGAGGGAGGAGCACTCACACAGGTCACTGCATGTTTTCAGGAGGACTTGTTACGATTCTTTGCCTTTTCCAGAACACCACCTACTCCGGGGTACTGCTTGAATTACAAGGTGCAGAACTGTAATTATGGACTTTTTGCCCAACAATAGCAATAATAAACAGCGCCCCCCCCCCCCAGCTTTAATGCTGGTGGAAGAGAAATTCTCCAGGTGTTTCCTATATTGTAGAGTTTGTGATGTAACTGGATAAATGAAAACCAAGTATTTCCTAAAATAGCAGGTGTCTGTAGCAGAGGTGTTTACCACTTTATGTTCTGCGACTTTGTAATAAAACCCTAAATATAATACGCG